AAAAAAAAAAAAAAAAAAAAAAAGAAAGAAAAATATTGCCATTGAGGTTTGAGAAGAGACAAGTACCAATAAATACAAAAGTCTTAAAGGGAAACACCAAAAATAGAAGTCTGAAATAGTTGTTTCACTATTATTTACTTTACATTGATATTAATGTGTTTTCCTTTTTCCTAACAGGTGAATTTTTCCTGAAAAATCTAGTGACTAAAAGAAAAACAAAAGCCCCCTAAAAAACAAAAGCCCCCCAAAACTTCAACAAGACCTTCAAGATCACAGAAATTTTTAAAATTTGATTCCAGTTAATAACAGAGGTGGCATCAGAATGCCTGGACTATAGTAGATGTACCCCACCTCTTTGCTTTAAATAAAAAGTCAATAGCCAAGCATGGTGGCTTACGCCTGTAATCTCAACACTTCAGGAAGCCGAGGCGGATTACCTGTGGTCAGGAGACCAGCCTGGCCAACATGGTGAAACCCCATCTTCAACTTAGCTGGGCATGGTGGTGGGTGCCTGTAATCCCAGCTACTTGGGAGGCTGAGGCAGGAGAATCACTTGAACCTGGGAGATGGAGGTGAGGTTGCAGTGAGCCAAGATTGCTCCATTGCCCTCCAACCTGGGTGACAAGAACAAGACTCCGTCTCAAAAAAATAAATAGGAAAAAAAAAGTCAATAAACTGTACAGATTTAATTATAGTAATTCACTTGGCTTTTAGTATATCTTCTTTGTCCCAATAGAGTTGCTTGCTGTGATGTAATCTTCAAATATCTTTGTAAGAATTTTCTGTTAACATACTTTTAAAATGCATTAAAAACTTCCAGAGACGGCGCGGTGGCTCACACCTATAATCCCAACACTTTGGGAGGCGAAGGCAGGTGGATCACTTGAACCCAGGAGTTTGAGACCAGCCTGGGCAATGTGATGAGACCCCATCTCTACAAAAAAAATGTTTTAATTGACCAGATGTGGTGGCACGTACCTGTAGTCCCAGCTACTCAAGCTGAGGTGAGAGGATCACTTGAACCTGGGAAGCAGAGGTTGCAATGAGCTGAGATGGTGGCACTTCAACTGCTGTCCAGACTCTGTCTCAGAAAAACCACAAAAACTTCCAGAAGATTTTCCAATCCACTGTTAACATCATCATCACATTTCATTTATGAAAAATAAAAACTTCATTTATGTTACTGTGATAAAACAGTCAACATAGATTGAAACTATGATCTGTTTACTTATGATGAGCATTTGTTATAATGGAATAATTTAGAAAGGCTTAACAGTGAATGTTGGCCAGACATGGTGGCTCACGCCTGTAATTCCAGTATTCTGGGAGGCCAAAGTAGGCAGATCCCCCTGAGGTCAGGAGTTTGAGACTGGCTTGGCCAACCTGGTGAAACTCTGTTGCTACTAAAAGTACAAAAATTAGCCGGGCGTGTTGGCAGGTACTTGTAATCTCAGTTACTCTGGAGGCTGAGGCATGAGAATCGATTGAGCCTATGAAGCGGAGATTGCAGTGAGCTGAGATCACGCCACTGCACTCCAGCCTGGGTGACAGTGAGACTCTCTCATAAAAAAGAATAAACGTTAATTTTTTACATTGGTGTGACTATTCAGAACCTGCAAAATAGTTTTATACTGATTATCTTTAGTCCCTCTGAAAAACTCAAGGCCATAATGCTGCCTAAGACATGGAAATATAACCTAAAAATCTTAACCCTAATTTTATAGTAGCTTGCTAAATCCACATGCACTATTCCTTTCATTTCTCACATTGATTGTATTATATGATGATAAAGACCTGAGAAAGGAATTTCTTTCCAAAGTACTAATAACTCGGATTAATCTTTTGACTGAATCCTGACTTTCTACTTTCTCTGCATCTCACAAAGGACACTTTTAGGTGGCCATGTTGTAAAATAAAGTGGATAGCAAGCTCTGTTTTGAATTCTTATAAGAGTAATACATGTCCTGCCCACGTGTGGTGGCTCATGCCTATAATCCCAGCACTTGGGGAGCCTGAGACTGGTGAATCAGTTGAGCTCAGGAGTTTGAGACTAGCTTGGGCAACACAGTGAGACCCCAATTTCTACCAAAAATAAAAAAATTAGCCAGGTATGGTGCCATGCACCTGTAATCCCAGCTACTTGGGAGGCTGAGGCAGGAGAATCACTTAAACCTGACAAGCAGAGGTTGCAGTGAACCCAGATCGTACCACTGCACTCCAACCTGGGCGACAGAGTGGGACTGTGTCAAAAAAAATTTTTGTAAGTAATGTATATCTTTATAGATCCTAGTAAATTTTGAGATGTAAATTTAATCCTACCAACATTTTTTTCTTTTCTTTTAAGATGAGAGTCTCACTGTCAGGCTAGAGTGCAGTGGTACCATCTCAGCTCACTGCAACATTTGCCTCCTGAGTTCAAGTGATCCTCTTGTGTCAGCCTGCCAAGTACCTGGGATTACAGGCTCACACCACCACGCCCTGCTAGTTTTTTGTATTTTTAATAGAGATGGGATTTCACCATGTTGGCCAGGCTGGTCTCGAACTCCAGGCCTCAAATGACCTGTCTGCCTTGGCCTCCCAAAGTGCTAGGATTACAGGCATGAGCCACCACTGGGCCTAACCCTACCAACTTAAAATAGAAAAACATCTAAGCTACCTTAACTTATAGGAAAAAAATTGATTACTTTTCAGCCTAATTTTGTGACATACTAGATATTACCTAATTCTTGGGCCTTTTGCACAGTGTAGGCCAAAGGTAATGAAACATTTATTAGCAGGAGAATCATTTGGTCAAATAAAATTCTCAGCCAGGCGCGGTGACCACACCTATAATTTTAACACTTTTGGAGGCCGTTGCAGGCAGATCACCTGAGGTCAGGAGTTTGAGATCAGCCTAGCCAACATGACCAACCTAGTCTCTACTAAAAATATGCAAAATTAGCCAGGTGTGGTGGCACGTGCCTGTAGTCCCAGCTACTCGGGAGGCTGAGGCATGAGAATCGCTTGAACCCAGGAGGCAGAGGTTGCAGTGAGCCAAAATTGTGCCACTGCACTCCAGCCTAAGCAACACAGTGAGACTGTCTCAAAAAAAAATAATAATAAATGGGCCGGCGCAGTGACTCACGCCTGTAATCCCAACACTTTGGGAGGCTGAGGTGGGTGGATCACGAGATTGGGAGTTCAAGACCAGACTTGCCAACGTGGTGAAACCAGTCTCTACTAAAAAATACAAAAATTAGCTGGGTATGGTGGCTCGTGCCTGTAATCTCAGCTACTTGGGAGGCTGAGGTAGGAGAATTGCTTGAATCTGGACCCAGGAGGCAGAGGTTGCAGTGAGCTGAGATTGTGCCACTGCACTCCAGCCTGGAATACAGGATGAGACTCCATCTCTAAGTAAATAAATAAATAAATAAAATAATAAATGAACTTCTCATGGAACGAACTTCAATGTAAAATAACTAAAATGACATTTTATTAGCACAGTGTATGTTAAAGTTTCAGATTTAAAACATTTACTCTGTAAATAAAAACGGAATAAGTAAAATGAAGCTATTTTGATGCACACACAAAATTGGGATTTATGGATAACGGTTGCAGTCTTCAGCCTCAATAGTCTATTTATTTGTTTTGGTTGCACAGTATTGAGAACAATTCTAACATAGCTAAATAATAGTAAATTTCAATTAATAGGGTAGCTTAAAAAGAAAAATAATAGTAGTAAATAATTTCTTTTAAATGTTAAAACACCTCATCTTGGAATCTGCAGATACTTTCCAGTTAAATTTAATACAGAAATTTGAAAAAAGAAAGAGATTTTTTTTTTTTGAGACGTAGTCTCCCTCTGCCACCCAGGCTGTATTGCAGTGACACAATGTCGGCTTACTGCAACCTCCACCTCAAGTGATTCTCATGTTTCAGCTTCCTGAGTAGCTGGGATTACAAGCATGCACCACCATGTCCAGCTAATTTTTGTGTTTTTAGTAGATACAGGGTTTCGCCATGTTGCTCAGGCTGGTCTTGAACTCCAAGGCTCAAGCGATTCACCCATCTCAGCCACCCGAAGTGCTGGGATTACGGGCATGAGCCACTGCACCTGGCCACGAGATGTTTGTTTTAAAGTAGAATCACAGATGTCTTCATTTGCGATTTATTCACTTGTTATAGCATACCGGACCATCATATCAAGACGAAGATTTTTGTAACCAAATGCTTCTTTTTTTTTTTTTAAAA